CATAAATCCCCAAAGATAATGAACCATTTTCGGGATAATGTCTCAACAGTGATACAAATTGCAACATAACGTACTATTATTGATGAAGGGAAAGTTAGTGTACTGAAAAAGAACTTTAGACAAGTAAACGGACCAAAATTGAATTTTTGCCAAAAAAATATATATGATTTACTACTGTAACATTAAATTTGATGCAGACACCCATTTAATTATGAGTGAATTATTTTAATATTGTTTCTTGAGAGAGAATTGCTGAGGTGTTACAATAACGGAAGGGTTGTTTTTCAAAACAGTAAAGCAATCATATTTTTAATAGATAAATATTTTTTAAATTAAAATATTATATTATACAAAACAACATAAATAAAGTATGATATTTTATAATATAAGTATGTATTTTTATTATAAAGTGTAACTTGTCGACCAACCTACTGATTAGACCGTCTTACATAAGAATTTTTGTTATCTAAATTTCAAGTTGAGTTGATCCATGTATGTAATTAATTTGATACATCTAAATATTATTATACTAGTCTTTATATCTTNCAATTTTATGACACATTCTAATATGCATTTTGTATAAGAGATTCTTCATTTAGCAAGGGTTAAATAAAGGGGTTATTATGAGGACATGTATGTATTATGAGTACTCATATCATGATTTGAGCTCAATATCATTAGTTAGAACATAAAAATTAAATACAATACGATGAATATATATATGTAAATGAGTGAGGAAATCTCTTACCGTGCATCGTGCTTCACAAGTCCATAATGGTGTTGGCACACAACTCATGTAATGACACCAAGAACAATGGTCATTTCCATCAACACCTCGAAGAAGCAAAACAAAGCCAACAGTCAATCTGCATGATACATAAGAAAGAATAATCATGAAATGATAAAATTAATGTAACATCTATGTAATCATCTCAATTGTCATATTCATTTTTCTCTTTCATTTCGATGATGAAAAATGAAATTTAAATTTAATATTAATTTTCAATAATGCAAGATATTATTGTAGAAGTCTTAAGAAAGAAGTGGTAATAGATTAACAAAGCAAAAGAATATACAAGTGTAATTAAGTGAATTGTTTACCCAAGGGCCAATGTTAGTAGGGATGCCAACAATAAGACATATTGATATGGCTTGTACTTGGATTTTGAGGAGGTTGAAAAAGGGGCAGGTGATAATCTTTTGCTGACCCATCCGAATTGAGGGCGTATAAGGAGCACAAATCCAAGTAGAAATCCAGTAACAAATCCTCCCAAGTGGGCAAAGTTGTCAACATGGGGAAGAATCCCCACCGCCATATTTATCACAATGATGAGGATAAGACTCAATAATGATTCAAACTGATCATCATCAAGTTC